GAGATATATATAAGGGAACTTCTAAACATTGGTGACAGGGAGTAGTAAAATCTTAGCGGCTTAAAAACCCTTTATTGATAAGAGTTCAGCACACAATGAATAAACACAACGATGACAGTCTTGGGTTATGGGCTGGTCACTTGGGGTCACCGGTGAGCCCACCTCAACGGCAGACCGGCCCAGTGACCTTGACCGCGCCGGGTCACACTCTCTCTTGACCGGGTCAAAACGCGGCCTTAAGTATCCGAGACGCTGGCTTGGAGGGGGGCAAGGAGGACCGCCCATCCGTTGGGGCACGCCGCTTGGGTTGCCTAGTGTGGGCGCCACGTGTCATCCACGTGGACGCCTCGCGGGCATATAATACCGATATAATACACTATATTGCTCGGCCACCTACTCACGGCTCGTCCTCGAAGGCGATCTAGACTTCCTCAAGGGTGACCCAACCTGGCTGGTTCCAACTTGCTCGTCCTTGATCTCGGGTGTGGTATCCTTGGTGCATCTCCGTGGCTGCTCGTTCTGTGTCGTCATCCTCGCTCTGGTCCCTGGTAATCCGTTCGTCCTCGACATCCTCACGTCCTCGACTGGTCTCATGCAGGTCCTCGCCCAGACATCCTCGTAGTCCGCGTACTGGTCAAACTCAGGCGGCTTATTCGCCCAATGCACGTCTCGCAGATCTCCGTCCAGGTCCTTCTCGGCTGCGCGCTCGTACAGACGTCCTCGTAATCTTCGTCAGGATCTACGGGCGTCCGGCAGGAAGCGTCCTCTTCAACATCGTAGGGCGGCTGATACCTGCACTAATGAGCTCCTGGAGTTTGACTGGGTTTGCGGCATCCAGGCAGGCCCGTTCACAGCATCATAGGACGGCGAACCTCTACAGGCGAGCTCCTGTTTTCGCTGGTTCTCGGGTGTCCTGGCGAGCGGCGATCTCCGATGTTGTTTTCTAATGGCTTCCGAAGGTGACCGTTTCTGTAGCAGGGCCTCCTTCGGTGCCGTTTCAGATATCTGGAACCAGAATAACACATACTGGGCCAGATAGTGAAAAGAAATTTTTTACACATCAGGAATTTTTTACACATCATCAGGGAAAGATGTGGGATATAGGTAGGAAAAGTCCCAGTCAGCAATAGAAGGGATAATTGATAGAAACTTTCTAGAGAGAAGAGAAGGTGTTAAATGCTACAAGCCGATTTTTTTGTTTCATAATTTGCAGTTTTTAAAGTTGAATTTTCGTTATTTTCTTCTTTTTTTTTCTTTTTGTGTTTTGGTCACAAAGTTAAGTTAACAGAAGGAAAATAGAAGAGGGAGACGTTGGTAGCAATCCAAGGACCTAGCCTGAACTACCAAAACCGTCTCTGATAGATACGAGAATAAAGTAAAGTAAACGACAATTGGCAATCTGCAAAGATTTACTTGAACCAAATGTCGAAACAGAAACGAAAGTATGTATATACGAAATCATGTACAAGTCACGCATCACGACTAACAATATTGCGGCAAACAAATACGTATACCTGGCAAACAAATATGTATACCTGCAACTAAGACAGCAGCAAATCCTATTAATGAAGGTTTCAGTGTCTTTGGTCTGCATCAGTGAGTGAGTGAGTATGTGTGCATGTTTGAGTGACAGTGATTGATGAGTGCCAAATGAAAGTAAGAGTGACCTCCTATAGCAGTAGCGTTGCCAATACGCTGAATAAAGTTCATATTAATAATAATGCGACTAATTATTTATAGACGTAATTCAAAATTATTTCAAGTACCACATTGAATTTAACATTTAATGATATGCGACAAAATGATGCATTAATGAATGGTGACGTGAAAATTATTCGCAAGCCTTTTCGCGAGCAAATCTTCTCGGGAATTTTCCCGAGGAAGTAAGTATGTCTTACCGGTCATACAGACTTCATTTGACGGAGGGAACGTCCCCAAAAATTGCGTATTTTATGAAGCTTAAACGAGCTGGGAAAATCTATAAATTACCCACTCTATCTGCGGATCTATGATGGGCGCTCATGAAATGCCCTACGGAGATTTATCATGAATCACAAAACCGATGGGATCTACCCAACATGATGGCGACATATAAAAGTGTGAGCGGGTTGTGATTAATTAAGTGGATCCTAAATCAGACTTAAATCCTAGTCCTAAATTAATGGACATAATTGCGGTCACCCTGGCTCAAAGTTTGCCGAACGTATGATTTACTTCAGTTACTTTAACTTACTATCATCTGCCGGAGACGCCGAGCACATTACGCATAAAAATGCAACCTCAAGTATTTCAGACACTCTGACACTATGTATAAGGATATCTCTTGACGTTATATTCAATTATACGTTCGCGTTACAAGTTCCGTTCTAGCGCCGATAGAACTTGTCACCATGAACATGTAATGGTTGCTAGCATTAACCCTATATTGTGACAACTAGTTCAAACAATTAAAAGGAAATGACAAGCTGTTTTCTCAGCCATATCACTGTGACAATCACTCAAGGTCAAGTCAGGTCAGTTACCAGCTGTCTAGCAGGCTGACTTAATGACTTTCACATGAGATCAGGTCAAAACAGGAAACGGAGAGAGAAGAATTTAATGAGTGCATATTCGTGAAAGAATAAATTCACGAACTTGCTAAATTCTATACAATTGAACAAAATATTTTAATCAAGAAATAAATTAAATAGACGCTTAATAAATGAACGATTTCATAATGTTTAACTCCATGCCGCAATTGACAGTAATGAGAAGTGAGGTTAGAGAATGAGAAATGAGAGTATGCCATTGCTATACTTAGCACTTTTAACTCAAAAACCTAACGTGAGCTGGCTGTACATGGCCTAACACATTTAGGAAAAAATAGAAAAGAAATGAAAAGAGAAAGGGGCCCATAAATGTGTACTCACGGTTTGAAGATGCCATCTTGCGTTGTCGAAGCCGAGCGGTTTTTCTTCGAAGGAACTTGTTCGGTTGTGTGCCAAAAGGACACAACTACCACCGCTATCACCACTTGTAATAGTTATATATAAGGGAACTTCTAAACATTGGTGACAGGGAGTAGTAAAAGCTTAGTGGCTTAAAAACCCTTTATTGATAAGAGTTCAGCACACAGTGAATAAACACAACTGGGCTGGTCACTTGGGGTCACCGGTGAGCCCACCTCAACGGCGCCAGGCTTGGAGGGGGGGCAAGGAGGACCGCCTATCCAGTGGGGCACGCCGCTTGGGTTGTCTAGTGTGGTCGCCACGTGTCATCCACGTGGGCGCCACACAGGCATATAATATCGATATAATACACTATATGCCCACTGCAGGTTGAGGCTGCTATTGCTCGAGGAGGAACGCAATCATCCTTTCATGGAACTAGGATTGCTAAACCACCTAGCAACAGGTGGTTTAGCAATCCCAGTTCCAGGAAAGGATGAACGTCATCTGCTCCATCTGCCTGAGCAGTATCTGTAGCAGATCCGTCAATTCACTGTTGTACTCTTGCTTGCCCTGCTGCAGTGAGCTGGAGTTGGTTCTGGGGTAAGTGCTGGAGCTGGTGCTGGAGTTGATGGGGCATTAACTTCTGTTGGTGCTGGTGCTGTAGTCGGTGCCATGGCTTTTTTTTGCAGGGCCCATCACTTTTGACCTCTGCAGGTGCGGGGAATTCCCCCACATCATTAAAACGAGCGGCTGGAGGGGAGGGGCTGCCTGCTTTTTATGGATGATTATGTGCCTATCCTTTGGATAGTAAGCGCACAATGGAGAATCTGCATTATGCTCCTGACGACAGTGACGAGGGATAATTTTGTCTTCAGAATTCTTTTCTGCGCATTCTGAGCTATCGTGAGGAAAAGCGCAGTATCAGCATCGCGGTGCGTCTCCCGGACGAATACGTGCTCCGTTTCCCCACTTTGAACAGTTAGAGCAAAACGGAGTTAGAGATTTAAAGATGGCACACCTAAAGGGTGTACCTCTCCCTCATACGTTATGATGACTCACTGGGTCACCAATCCTTTCACTTTCATGCATTTGGCTTGTATAACGCGTTCATTGTGCGATGCCATTTCTGTTTCGATTTCTCTTTGTTTGATGGTGAGGCCCGCCATCAATATCAGCATCACGGAGGACTTTATACCTGCCCTCCCTTTCCATGGGCTGGTCTGTGGCCATTGTCCCATTTGTAGGCGGGGTCATTCCCCGTACACAGAGAGCCCGACCTGACTTGCCTGTGTAAATACACAGCCACACACAACGGGTCACATACGCCGCGTACTCACTATATGATTTAGGTCACTTTACTGTCAGGCCATATGATTATATATTATAGTATGTATTTATTTATGTATTATGTATTATGTATATTATGTTATGGTCAGATGTATGAAACAGTACAGCTTTAGCTGTTATAGATTTTTCACTTTACGACACACACACGTGTATATGTGTGTGTGTGCGTGTGTGCGTATGTATGTGTATATATATATATGTATATGTGTGTGTGTGCGTGTGTGCGTATGTATGTGTATATATATATGTGTGTGTGTGTGTATGTGTATATATATATATATATATATATATATATATATATATATACATATACATATACATATACATATACATATACATATACATGTGCATACAAATGTTTATATACATGTATATGTGTGTGTACACGCGCGTATATGTTATGGTCAGATGTATAAAACGGTTCAGCTTTAGCTGTTATAGATTTGTCACTTTACGAACACAAAGTGCTAATGTTGTGACATGCTCAAATATATCCACCCGATGTCTGTGATATTCAAATTAATTTTACATATTTCCTACACCGATAGTGGGATACGGGATTACGAAAATACTTTAAACATATCGCAAATATCCTGTTTGCAGTGATAATGAAGCATACTGGCTACATTTCATAAATATCTTCAAACAGTGGGTATAACAAATGTATACGTTCGAACCACTAAAGGGAAATACGAAAGTAAGAGATAATCCTGTACCCCCTGAGCAGTTGGCTCGTACTTTTGATTTTGATTTGCAAGTCTCGCTTTTAGAAACCGTCTGTTTATTTTTTTCCGCATTTTTGGGGGTAAGTAAAGGTTAACTGATTAACTCGTTGGGATACAGAGAAGCAAATTTTGTTATATAATCTGTGAATAATGAGACTAGTTCTTTGTTTTTAAATGTTATTCGGATGTTATGCCAGCAAAAATGAAAATACTCTTTCAAAGTTTACAAGTAGTGAGTGTTCAACTGAAAATTAACACATATAGAAATATACTAAATTGAAACCAATTATATACTCTAATGCCCATGTAAGTTAGAAGTGGTTATAAATGTGAAATAAATACGCATTCCTGTTGTATTAAAACATATTTTTTTCAACCTGAATTTAGGTGTTCAGGTTAATATTTATTATTTGTTTGCTTCAGAAAGGAGACAGCATGGCAGATACAAACCCAGAGCAGGTGTGTGGTTTAAGTAAAACAGCAGGAAGTACAAAAGTCACAGACCAAGAGGAAACAGAGACTCCAGAGGTTTTTACTGTGACCTGGATGCCAGATGATCATATCAATGAGTTAACTTATATTTTACAAGGTGAGTTTAATAAAGGATCCTCTGCAGTGAATTGTTATTATTTTGATAGTAATAAATAACTGGTAAACTGCTACCCATGCCTCTTACATGCTCATCTAGCAACTACACATTAGTTACTGCTGCTTCAGTATGCGTTGGCTCTCAAGCAATATACAATTGGTATATATTTACAGAATGACTAATATAAAGAAAATTAAATTACATTGTCAAAAAGACAATTAAGAACTACACAACGATACGAGAAACAGGGCCAGATCCAGGATTGTTAGAAAGGGGGGCGCAACCCTTAGCTGAGACGATTGCGAGTGCCGAAGGCACGAAGCCTAAGCGGGATAGAAAGTTTCTATCAATTATCCCTTCTATTGCTGACTGGGACTTTTCCTACCTATATCCCACATCTTTCCCTGATGATGTGTAAAAAATTCCTGGTCTAAAAAAATCATTACTCTGCCAAAAATAGGCCCCCCCCCCCTGGATCCGGCCCAGAGAAATAATATATGCAGGCAAAGAATAATGTCAAAAATTAAGAAAATAGGTTTTGCAGAGTCTGTGTTCAAGATGATTGGGTGGGAGTCTCCCAAGTAGGAAAATGCAGTGATAGGGAAGAGATATGGGGGAAACCCCTAGGTTAGGAAGGATATTTACATTTTTTGATAGTTGGTAAACCAATTAGCATATATTTGTGCAACAAACAACACTTGCAAAGGAAAAGAATTGAATGAAGTTGTTATGGTAATTAGATAATTAAGTGTATAAAACTAACCTAAAAAGTTGCTTTCTCTTTTTTCTTGAAACCATATATTTAGAGCATCTGTATAGAATAAGTCAATGAGACTTTACTTTATGTAGATTTTGGCGTCACCATTGGAAAGCTCAGATTTTTCTCTGAATACTTATCAGTATTTTTGGAGGTGAAGATTTAGAAATTAAATTAAAGTAGATTCAGAAAATTGCAAGGTCAATATCTCAAAATATTATTGATGTTTATGGTTGTTTTCTTTACACATCATGCAGATAGGCTTATTCAATACACAAGAGACATAAAATTACAAAGATTTCCATCCCTTTCATCACTGATGAAAAGCATGATAAAGTTTAATTGTGGTGTGCCATCAAATAAGGAGCTAGTCCAGACTGTGCCTTGCCAGAGTCTGGTTTGATTGATAATTTTTGCTAGGGAGCTGGAGGCATAAAGGCAGCTACTATTGCTTTACAACATACTGTTGTCAAGATATGAAACTTCAGTATAACACCACAATGAACAAGGATTTCTTTTGTAAACCTCAATATAACACCACAATGAACAAGGATTTCTATTGCAACATTTTTCAGAACTTTATACTTTCTGCATGTCAATAATATTAGTTTTGGTGATTTTTTTGCTTCACACAATCATCCAATCTTGCAATTATTATTCGGTCTTTCAATTATCAGTGCTCTAATATGCATGAATCTCTTGTTATTTTCCATTGCAAATGATAAAATGAAAGTATTGTTAATGTTTATGAAATGACCTTACCCCTCTGAGGTGAAGTCCCTATTACTCCAGCTATTCCTGTGGAAATCAACACACAATGCCATATGAATCAAAAAACCTTCATAACATAACAGACTCCAGTTACTCTAGAATTGCTCTCCACATATGCAGTGACCTATTTTCTTCACTTCTAAGGATATAGTTTGCCTACACAGATTATTTCATGTATTAGGGATTGTAGTTTTTCTCTTTGATTATTAAAGTGCCATTACATTTTCATGTAATTGTATACCAAAGTATTACATGCGAAGGTAACACCATAGTCAGTCTATCCATTACAGACAAATTTTACCTTCCTTATTGGGGTTTGCCCCTGGACCCTCACTTGATTGCAGTGGAATTGTTCTCAGCATGGCTTTTCTTGATTTCAGTGGTTAAATTTTGCTTACACAGATTATTGCATGTATAAGTGAGTGTAGTTCTTCTCTTTGATTATTAAATTGCCCAAACATTTTTCCTGTAAATGTATACCAAGATATTTTGTGTTGCACAACTTTCTTGTGAAGGTAATGGTAATACTACCATAGAAGAAACGTGTTATATTTCCAGTCATTCTGTCTATTAGAGACAAATCTGATCTTGTACTACATGGCTGTGGAAAATCGAACTTGTATACTTTTTGTTGTGCAATTACCCAGTGCCATTGGCACTAGGTATTTGCACCTTTCACTGCAGTTTTGCTTTGTGAATTTTGCTTACACATATATGGCTCTGCAAGTGCACAGTCACCAAGTAGCTGTTGATGTCATTGCTGTTAATGATATTGGGATTATTATATTGTTACAGATACTAATAAAAAAAAGGATTCCAAAAATCAAGGAAAAGGATGAATAGGTATGATCAGGTTTGACAATTAATTGACTCCTTGATGACTAAGATCTTGTGGAGCCATCTATGTATAAGATAACTTGATAAATTAGAATCACATTGGACATGGCATGCTTTTCCACATCACTGAAACACAATAGAGTTCTTAAATGTCATTAGCTGAGAGACAATTCTCATTAATATGCCAAAATTAATCTTAAATATGATATGATAATTTTAATATAAAATGTAGTTTGGCAACATCTGCTTCATAAAGGCCTCCAACATACAAAAAGTATAGCTTCTCGTATCCCTGTCTAGCATTAACAATTGTCTTCAATGGCTTCTGTGTCTACTGCTGGATCACCTGAATACTCTGGCTAACTTCCATTGCCACAACTCTGTAAAAATATTTTTTTTCAGGAAAGTCATTCAGATCTGATTCAATATCAATCAGTTCTGCATTAGTACTTGCTCAATTTCCTTAAGGCTTCCTTAGTTTTCCAGATTTCAAATTTGTTGTATGGCCAGGGACACTTCACAGTGATTGCCATCAAAACTACTTATCAGGCTAATTTCATTTGTTGATATGAATATTAACCAACAGGTGCCCAGATGGCAAAAATACATCTTGTTTATTTCTTATCATTAAACATGAATGACTCATAAGTGCTTAATCACCAAAGAGTCAATTATTAGTGGTATCTGTCTCGCTTGTGTATCCTTGATTTTTGGAAAGATTAATTTATTTTATTGCTTTTATTAATGGTAACATTATAATATATATGTGAAAAATAACAACAATGTTATTTAAAAAAAAAGAAGAAAAAAAAGGGGGGGGGGGGAAATCAGGTCCAGCACTTGTGGAACCATCAATGTGTAATTGATTACTCAAATGAAAACTACAGTCAACAGTACATATTACACTGGCAGCAATGATTTAAATTATACCAAAGATAAGTCTTTGCAAAATGACAGTGATACTGGCCATCATGTTTAAATGTAATGTATAGTGGCAATGCCAGAACCTCATTCATTACTTTTAACACAGGAATGAACACCATGCATTTTCAAATTGGCTTTCTTCTTGATTGATGTCCAAACTCTTTTTTTTCTTGATTATATTTATTCTGTTGTAAGTGCATTAATAGACCATTCTTTTTTGCATGTTTTCCACACTTTGTCTATTTTGATCATACTGTATTTTTTTTTCTTGTCCTACTTCACTTTACTCTAATGATGAATGTGAATTGCAGGTTTTTTTGTGGGAACGTAGCTTTTTTAAGATAATTTTCCAATGAGTTTCTGTTTCTTTGTATTGGACAGAGGATTATATGTATTTTTTTTTTATAAGTTACTTTTCCTACATACTATGCATTTTACCTGGAACATTCACAAGCAATAAAGTCCTTGTTTATCAGCATTGGGTTATTTTACAGATTCATATGTGTTCATATGCTTATTGTCTTGTTCATTACACTGGCATTTTTCAAAATTACTAACTCATTTCATAAATCAGAGCATAGCTTTGTATTTCTCTGATTCATTCAAAATACCATGTAAAATTTCAGTATGGTACTGTTCACTTGATTATAGTCAGACTCAGATTTGCTAATTATCTTCATAAGAATACATAGCTATGATGTAAATATTATTTTTCATAAAATTAACATTTCTCTTTCAGGGGCACCTGCAGATAAAGTGGAGAGAGTTTTAGTGCATTATGTGGAAGGAAGTATAGAACCAGCTGGATGGCGAGCAATCTGGTCTGTTACAGCCAGACAGTCAAACTCCTTCCTGAACTTGTATCACAGTGCTGATATCCTTGTGGATGTAAGAATGTTTGTATGCAGTGTTTATTTTTATTTTATTTATTTATTTATTTATTATTATTTTTTTCTTACTCATCTATTTTAGTTTCTCTTGGTAGTATTAGATGCAAGAATATTGGTAAAAAAAGGAAACAGAAGGATTTTTTCCTTTTTTAACTCAATATTTCCAGGGAAAATGAATAAAAAATGGGGAAAATGCTGTGCTCTTTTTTATATTTTTTGTGAAATGTCTCAGCAGATTGTTCTGCTAGTGCTTAGCCACCAAGGAGTCAATTAGTAGATCTTGTAACCTTACCCGATTTGAATTGGCAGGAAAAAAGTATTTTTTACTAGTGCTATGAATATCGATGCTGTTATTTTTACTTTAAACATTATAATACATTACAACACTATAATGTTCTAAATATTAGTAACAGCAAAATAAGATAACGTAAAATATTTTTGTAAATCAAAGAAAAGGGTAAACCGGTGAAACAGGCAGTACTCGTAATTGGCTCATTAGTGACAAGTGTAGCCATCTATTTGTAAAAACAATTAAACAAGTAACTCGCAGTGGGCATGACACGTACATACACGTCATACCCATTGGCATTGGGTTAAGACTGATTAGTAAAAAAAAAATCATTACATATATGTATGTAGGTATGAGTGTTTTTGTGGTAGGTAAGGCTACTATTTTCTTTGTACACAAGATTTCATGCCATTTCCTTGTATACACATCTGTTTGTATGGTATGAAGTATTATATTTTAGTTAGTTTATATATGCTTTGTCACATTTTTTACATGGAAATTCAAATAATTTCTATACAAATATACTGAATACTTTTGTGTGAGGATATAGGTAAAAATGGTTTGCATAGTTTTGGCTAAATAACAGAGTGAAATGTGCAGAACCTGATAGATAAGAAACATTATTTTAAAGTAATGATGCAAATTCAAAATTCGAAAAGCTTCTGAATCCTTAAGTGATGCTATATAAGAATGTCTTGAAAAAGTGACAACAATAATA